TGTACTAAATACAATTACAATGTAAATTATTTCCATTTTATCAGTTAAGATTTCGTAACTTTATGTCTGTTAGTTGAGAAAAAAAGGTTCTCATAGGTAAGTGAACAAATAAAAAAATGCCAAAAGCAAAGATTTTTTTCAATAAATATTTCAATTTTTTTTTTAATTTCACGATGCAACCGCTGTGCTTTTAGCTACATCAATACCAATGGTTGGTTTGAGCGATAGCTTACAACACGTTTCCGAGCACGTGTCAATTTTTAAGAATTGTACAAATGAAAAATAAAAACAAAGGGAAAGCGAACACTTATAAACCGGCATCCCACCAACCCATCATCTTTATAGTTAGATTAAAACCTCGGTCCAAATTGTTGGGTCAGCGTCTGTGCATGCGTAAACTAAAATAAAATATCGAACGAGATGGTTTTACGCAACTATTATACGCCAGGCCACTTTCAATTATTCAGTTGAGTTACAATTCAGGGATATGAATATATTTGTCCGTAACCGTACAAGCAACAAAACGCGAAATGTACACAGTTGACAATAGCACGAAATAATGTAATATACATATGGTATAAATGCAAGAACAATACCGGTTTTGGGAATGCTGCGCCAAACCGTCTCGCAATCTCAAACAAAATGCAAAATTTCGCAATTCTGTAGAACTTCAATATTTGAGGTCCGACTGTTTACACAAAGCACAATGTTATTCCAAATTGTTCTTAAACAGCGACAATAGAGAACGTTCGGTTTAATTGTGCGCATTACTTGAATTATTTTTTATTTATTTATTCGCACAAGAGCTTCTCCTTATATTAGTGGTTAGAGCTATGAGCTTTCAATCAGAAGTTCCAGTTTCGATACCCACCTCGAAATACCCGATGTCAACTAGTAGCTAGTGACATCGGTTTTTACTTGGAAATATAGATAGCAATACATTTCCAAGTGAAAATAAGCCTTACCGCCATCGTTGCATCGAATAAACAAGTCATCAGTATGAAAGTTATTCTAATAACAGATTCATCAAAATGAGACTGGTCAACCGTTGTGTTGTCATCTAGAAAGCAACGTCCTTAAGCAGCCATCACAAGAAGCTTAAAAAACTATTAAATTCTGATTGCTGTTAATAGTATTATGGACAAAAAATCAAAAATCTTAGTTCGAAAAACGTACTACACGCACTTCCTAATAATCCAAAATAATAAATGGCCAAAAATTTAAATTCAACTCGATTTCTTTTAATACTTATTTGAACAGCGATCAGAACTTAAGAGTCCTATGAGCTGCTGTGATGAATTTCTTGCAAACTACGTTTGGTTTTTAGAGATGGCAACCCAAACAGTTGTTCCTGATCATTTCTATGTGATGATTTTTATTATTACAATTGACACAGCAACGCCGTATCAGGGCTATTTTCTTTTGGAACCATATTTCCAAGTGAAAACCTATGTTACTACTGCTTGACAGCGGGATCGAATCCGGGGCCTCTGATTCAGGTATAGTCACTCTACCCATTTACCAATGAGAGAGCCCATTATGAATAATAAATTAAAATAGTGCAAGAAATCTACTATACTACATGCACTTCCTAATAATTCAAAACAATATACGACCAAGAATCTGAATTTAACTGGATCTATATTTCAAAATTAGAACATTTGTGCATATTTGCAGAAATAGTACAATACATTATTTAATTTATTTTATAATATATTGTTGCTAAAGTAATTAGTGAATTTTAGGATATATTTAATTAACATTATAATTGAATAACAAATATTATACTTTTTTAAAATTGGAGTATTTTATTTATTCGTGCAAGCTATTTGCGATTTCACGTGTTATTGAAAAAAAACTCAAATATGATCAATGTATTCATTCCGAATCAAATGAAGCAAATATGCGATTCGACACATAAAATCTAACTTTTTGTATGTGGTACTTTTATAATGCATCAAAAAAAAGAAACAAGATCAGATCCGACAAGCACACCGATTTAAACAAAATACTCAGAAGATGTATAATAAAAAACGCTTTGTTCATCAAATGAAAAAGATCTTTGTACTCCTTGTACCGTTACATCACGTTTCTTTTCGACAGCTATATAAATTGTATTTTTATCACATTCACGCATCATTGCATTTGTTTACATACAAATACCTCGACTCTTGTTCTAGTTCCCATAATCGGCTCTATTGCCCATGCATAATATTTCATTGGTGTTGCAATATGATTAATTTTGCGAGACGGGGTGTTTTGCACACACAGTTCATTTGCATAAGTCGCGCTGTGTATGACTGATGTTCTCGTATTTAGGTGAAATATGTGCCTGAAATTGAAAAAATTGTCGACGCAAATATTTAATCTGGGAATTGTGGGAAAAACGACATGTGACAAATTTTCACATTAGCTAATATATAGAGAAAATATAAACAAAGGAACATTTTTATTGTGTACCTACTAAATTATTAAATCCATGATTTTCTTAGTACGTAATACAAATTATAGTTACTGTACTTAATTTATAAATTTGGTCTCAAATTTAATTTTCATAGATGCCTTACCACTATTTTTAAGCAATTTGATGCAAAGTTTTACATTTCCCAAAAACCATAATATTATAGTCCTAATTATTAACAAGAAAACTTAAAACTTAGGACCAAAACAATGCATTCTTAAAAAATTGTGATTGCGATGAGACAAAACACAGTCGAGCGGAGGACAGAGAAGCCAATCAAATTTTTTTTGCAATTTTTTGTAACTGTTACATGTACCATAGTTGAAAACATTCATGCATGAGTTTTCTCTTATTATTATTATTTGAACAGCGATCAGAAATTAAAGGTCTTATGAGCAGTTGTGATAAGCAGGTCTTATAACAGTTCCCCTATCTCTATTATTATTACATTTTCTCTAATGTTGACTAATTTTTAATCGATGCAGAAATGCCAGGCGATTTTCACTTGAAAATACTTTACTATCCATATTTCCTAATGAAAACCGATGATATTACTGCTTGGTTTCAGGCTACCCAAGACGGGTATCAAATATAGAAACTCTTGGAATTGAAATCCCATAGCTCTAACAAGAAGAGTTAAGGTGAAGTATCAGATTGACGTTTTTGATTGAACAGGTAAACTCCTTCCAAGAACGCTTCAAATTTCCCTTATAACGTACACGAGTAAGGAATCAAGTCTTTGCAGTAAACAAATTGGAGAATAGTAAAATAGAAATCTGCTATATTTATTATCAGATAAAAAATATAAAATGAAAGAAAGACGTTACAAAACAAAGATTAATAGCAGAAACAACAAAAGAAACTCACACTTCTTTTTTCCCAAAGACAGATTCAAGATGTCAACGAATATATGGATATACAGATTAGTTTTTTTTCGCAAAAAAATTAACACGAACAAAAATTCGATAAAAATAAATTAATCTTTTATTTTGTCAGCTTATAATCCGATTAAAAGAAACAAGATTTTGTCTGTCAAAATAACGGCATTAAAATTCCGCCTTTCTCAACTTAATTCATATGGCTGTTTCAAGGATGCAATATCAAATTCAGTTCATTAAAATAACAACTCTGTTTTACACACTTAGAATAAACTCATTATTTGGCATAAAAAGGGAATAAATATTTGTCTACAGCAAGTTTATTGGAATATAAAAAAGAATATGTAATAAATTTTGTCATTTTACACCGCTCACTGAAATTCTGTGTAGGCAACGTTAGCGCGAGTAAATATATGGTCAATATCTTATGGTATTTTATACTGGTTTTTGTCAAGATGTTAAAAACAAATAGAAATCATCTATCGGTAATCTAAGACTCAGACTCCTTATAGTTTAAATAAATATATTGATTTTAGAGTATCTTGGTGGATCAACAATGTACCGTAATACATCAATTTTAATAATTTATATTGTTTCTATATAATACCTAAGGGTAGCAAATCATATACCAATCACACTATGTAATATTCAACACTTTGTTTAATGAAATATATGTTTTTGAACTCAAACTATATATCCGTGATTATTAAAGTCAGAATTCTCTTAAATTTGTCTAAAATGCTAAAATTTTCATAATAAAACAATTAGTATATGTACAATGCAGTTTTGCATAATATTTATCTACATTACGAATTCTGACTTTAATAATCACGGATAAACAGTGCATTATGATTAAAGTGTATTTTAATGTGAAGCGTCAATGTTTAATACCCTTTTTGCCCCTTGAACATACAATTTCACTGAGAGATAATGACTTTTCCAAATAGATAATTTATACTTTTTTTAAATCCTTTTGATCAATAAAAATTTTTATACTAAAGTAGCATTACGACAACATATATGTCAGATATGAGTTATGCCAAGTTAAGCAGAAGATTAACTTCCTCAGTCAACCTATGGGAGTTCATTTATACCGACAGCATGGAAGCTTGTGAAAAGATAAGTTATCATGGATCACCCATCCTTGGGGATGCTAATCAGCATACACGTATCTGACATTTCTCTAACTATTACTTCTCGAAATATTTTCTACTGCTCTTACGATGTTAAGTCCTATGCAATTCGTTCTCCGTTTTAAGTCTCTAAATCCGCGGAAGTAAATGTTGACAACGACAGATGCAAATTCATCCGCGGGGTAAAATCTTATGTTGCATTATCATAAATGAGTTTTGGATAGAAAATCTAGCACAAAATGGTAAGCATGTTGAAAAGGTAACTGTCCAAAAGTATAAATTGTATATGATTTGAATACAAAATGTTTTTTGACTGAACAACCATGTTGCAAATCTACGCTATCCCCCCTACAGTTCAGAAAAGAAACAAAAGTATTCATCAAAAGTTGGCCCAAGTTGTACATATATATCTGATATATTTATACATCTTGTCATTTTCCGATAGAATCTGCTTTATAGAGATGCATTACAAAACCAAGAAATACTCTTAGTTAGTAAACTTTAACTACTTTTCATTAATTAACAAACCTTGTGTAATAGTTTCACCATCAGTCTTTTCCCTTCAAGGTAGCTACGGGCCGCTCCCATACGATCTATCCAATGAATGCAAACAGCAAAATATTTCTGAAATTAAAAAATATCGTTCAAATATATTTAAAAAAACAAATTTCTGCTTGAGCTAGCAGAATATATTCTATTGCAAACATTACGATAAAATTCACAGATAGCAATTCATCGGTATATACATAAACTGCTTTTATGTAAATTTATGCAACGGTTAAGTAATCAAACAAATGCAAACATCGTATACAAAATAGCGTGTTATCTCATGATTCACATTATAAACATACTTTTATCAAGAATAAATGTAATATGAGATAATGTTTACGAAAAGTTTAGCTAACACAATTTGAAATATTGCATCAGTCTGATAAATTTAACCCTTTCGCTATAATTGTCGCCTTAAAAGACATCTGCCTGACGATCTTCGTGAACGAATGTCGCCTATAGATGACATAGACGACGACTTTCATACAATACATGTCATTGAGTTAAATTATTGAGAACTTAATTAGTTATTGTGGTTTTTAGTTCTTTGGAAGTGTGATTTATAATTTTTAAATACAGTTTTATCGTTTTATTGAAAAGACTTGGAAAACTTTGTGTAAAAAATACTTGGATCTCTGGCTTGAACAACAGTGTCACTCCTACCACTAGGATATAATCATGTATTTTTTTTTGTTCTAAAACGTTTTACTTGGAATAATAAAAAGCTGCAAAATATATAAAAATAAGAAAATAAGAACAAATACAAATACATGATTATCAACTAACATCTATTTTCCTGTATAATTCCTAACATACCAAAGTCAAAATGACTTGAATTGAATAAGATTAGAACTGTAGTCTATAACACACATGTGTTTGTTACCACAGACAATGAGTCAAAAGTTTTCATCGGATAACATGGGCATTTTAGTCCATATTTTAATGATTAAATATAAAATATATAACACTGATGATGAGACAAATCGAGCCTAGAAACTTTTCTAAAATTAAAATATTTAATAAATAGTGCAAGAAAAAGTGTTATATTGTTCAAATTATATATGTATATATATATATATATATATATACATATATGCTCGTTGAAAACAATACGCAATAAAAATAATCCTTTCGAAGCTATATACAAAACACATCGTTTATAATGAGAGTTTTCCACGCTTGTTATACGTTAGGAATATCGTCACCTCTCGATACTAACAATAACAATCCATAGAATATAGAGAAATAGAGAGGAAACTCAATAAACTTGGAGCAAACCAATAAAATATATAACGGGATCGTTAGATGTTTCAGCTGAAACAATAACTCCAAACAAAGAAATACAAACTGAAAAATACAAAAAAAAAATATAGAGCAAACAAATTAGTAATTTAAAATAGTTATAAAAGCCGAAGTCTCACTTATGATTGAATCACAATAAAATTTGTTTCAATATTTCATACACGCCCTGTTGAACTTTATATATATTTCCTTGGATAATTTTTGCTTCGTATGAGAACAAAAGTGCAACTTCACAATTTAATGATCAACTCAATAGATAAAATGGAAAGAGCTGTAACAAATAACGTACAATGCTGATCAAAGAACAAAGAATATGTCTCGACTATAACTAATATAAACTCTTCGTATGCGCTATTTTCATTGATTCAATTCTTACATAAATATACTTCTTTAGGTTCACAAATACACAAATAAAAATAAATAGTTTCACACACGTTTTGTAGAAAAGATGCAGCAGTAATGAGTCCTTTCGGCCTTACTTTAACAATTCGTGAAAATTAAACAGCAGAAAATCCAATATTACATCGCTATTTGAAGATTAAAACAGAACTAAATCAAATGAGCAGCTGAATGAATGTGTAACAGAATGGAATAGGAATGTGATAATGCTAAACTTTTGGAGAGAATTTTAAAATTGTCAAACAATGCCCGGTAATTTTATCACTTATAAACTCAGTGATGTGATTAAAGTGTTTAATTCAGAATGTGTAAGTCACAGTAAAATGAAATACCTGAAGCGCTATCAATTTAATTATTATTTTTGACTCACTTACTCTCATTTACACTCATATATTCGATGATGATTTATCTCCTCAACTAAATGAATTATTAATACATTAACTTTAGATAAACATTACCACAAAAATTTCAATTTCAGTCAAATTCTAGTTTTACATTGTGAATTACTGATCTAGAGGAGTAGTTAAATTAAAATAATTAATATAAACATTAGAACTGACAAGACAATAACTTGACTTTATTGATAATACTATCTTATATAATATAATTGTAATACACCGGGTGTTCCAGAACTTAAAATAAGGCCGTTTGGGTTTCTGAAATCAGGTGATAACAGTGTTAATTTTAACTATAATGAAAACAATCAGATAAAAATATATTCCATCTAGTTTGAAAATTATGAGCTTTTAAGTACATCCAAGAGCTCTGTATATTGATGTTAATTTTTATTGTTTTTATTCATTTAAACTTTGGAACCATAACCCTGAATAACATTTTTAGAACCACCGCAAAAAATCATGGTACAATTGGCGCAAGTTTTTTAGAATTAGGATTAGGACCATTTGTTAAACTATGAAATTAAAATATTCACGAATTTCTAAGTGTCTTGGCAAGTTTTATTAAAGGTTGACGCATATAGTCAGGTTTGCAGAATGATACTTGTTAGTTTTATACTGAAAAGGAAACCTAAAAAGAGACTCATATTTGCTAACGCATTTCACTCACAATCAGTTCAAATGTTTTATTATTCTCACAAGCCCAATGGGCGGTTCAGAAACATTTGAACTAATAATTTTATTTATTTGTATTCTGTATAATAATTTTATTTATTTGTTCTTACATAGTACAGTTAGTAATTAAGCTTGTTTGTACCATTCAAACTTTAGACCACTGATGATGACGTAAAATAGTACGTCAAAACGTGTGTTACAGTAAAAGATGTTTTAAAATCTTTAGATTCTATTTTCTACTCACAAGTCTGGTTTATAATTTTCTAACATTTTCTAGAATCAGCTATTCATATTCAGCCGATGTATAATAACAAATTGGCACAAAAAATTCGTTAAAATCTTTTTCATAGGGAACTCTGAAAGCCTCATTTGATCATTTCAATTCAATTCAATTTGATCAATGTTGTGACTTGCATTTTAGATTATGAAGCTTAATTTTAGCTGCTTTCGATTCAATATAAGAGATATTTGTCTTTTGTTTTTCTAGTGTTCAAGCGTTTTACTCAATATTATGCTTAACAAGAATTTATTCATTCATTTATATATCAAAATACTATTAACATATATAACTATTCTTAACATATAACGTTATTAAAAGCTCTTGAGCACAAAATAACATATGATTTGTAATATTTGATATAAGAAAAGATTATTTTACATAAGAATAACAGTTATGAAAAATCCACAGTGCAGAAATATGTAAGCGTATTCTGCATTCCACTAAATCGATTTAACTAACTAAAAGCTTCAGGAGGACAAAGTGTACGCTACATGCAACTTATTTGCCTCTGTTGAATTAATTTCTACACGCGTCTGAATAACACTCGAAATCGCAATCGCGACGAATAAATATGAAGAAAGCACGAGTGACATTAGCCGGAACAGGCAACAACAACAGGCAAACGAGGCGGTGAGCAGTGGTAACGATTTAACAGAACATAAGTGTTCGTCTTTATTTTATACAAAATCGAGATAGCGCATGTTTTACGAATGCACGCGTCTTGTTTGATTTTATTGTATCAATTTATTTTATCTGGGAACAAACAAGTGGTATTTAAAAGCTAAACAAACCGAGACACCTCTACCTCTCCCCACGCAGAGAGGTAGAAAAATGAGAGTCAAGTCGGAGTGCAGGTATTGGGTGGTATCGTCTTAGACGCTAAACATTGTAAGTTGTAAATAAGTGCGATCTGATGGGTTCGTGTTCACGTGGAAACTTGAGCGTTCGTAAAACAAAATATCTCCAATATAAAATCAAAAGTAGCTAAAATTAAGCGACATAATCTTAATCACAAATCACAACATTGATCAAATTGAATTGGAATGAATCGATCACATGAAGCTTTCACAGTTCGCTATGCAAACGATTCTAACAAAACTTTAGTGCTAATTTGTTATTATACACAGATGATTGATACTAGAAAATAATAGAAAATTATAAACCATACTTGTGTGCAAAAATAATTTAATTTTTTAATTTTTCAACACATTTTTCAACACTATACAGTACATTTAATTAATAAACCCATCAAATTAAAGCAAACTGCATGATCTACAATTTTTTAAATAGTTTACGTGAATATTAATTAAAACAAAATATAAAGTTCTTAAACCTATATTCAAAATATAATAAATATTATGGTTGCACTACTATCTACCATTGTCTAATGTGATTGTCATTCACATTCATTCTCGTATTCCTCCTCTTTTCACGAATATATTTTTGTGATTTATAAGGTAGTATATTTTGAATATACAAAATATCACGAGTACAAATTCCAACGCCACATAATATTCGTTGTATTTTATAAAAATGGTTTTTTCAGTTCGAAACCATCGTACAATATAAGTTATGTGCAGCAAAAATTTCATGCCAATTTAGATAATAATAGCATTTAGTTTATAGCATATATAGTAGTTCTATTGGTGATCAATCGGCATAACGTACTTTTCAATTAAGCACTACCATAAAAAATGTTATACCTAGATATAACATAGACAATTAGACTTTAAACTTGCCCTTATCTTTGAAGCCTGGCGACAATCAATTAGACAATCTAATTTAATGGTAGGAAACCAAGGCACGTTTTATGAACGAATATAAGCTTTGCACTTCTCCGAAAGTATTTACGACTTTATTATATTAAATATATAATAATTGTGAATTGATTATCGCACTGTAGTGCTAATTTAGTACATCAATATTTTATGGATTCTTAATTATGTGAACTGCGTACAGGTGAATTTAATAGAATCTCCATAAACGATACACAGTGCGCGGC